TGTGATTGGGATGAATTTTGTAATTCATAATGGTGTGATTGGGATGGATTTTGTAATTCATATGGATTTTGTGATTGTTAAGCAGGTACACGTTATGTTTAAATTTTGGGCAATGTCTATTTTTTACCCAAACCTTTTTTCAGATTCTTTTATTTTAACCAAATCTATTGAATTCCTAAAAATTATCCAAACGTTAACTCTCCGTCAACTTTTCTGTTAGTAATGCTGACTAAGTATGACCATAATGAGTTGACTTCCTACGTGGCGGTCAGAATACCATCATTTACTATTTTTAATAAAAAGATTATCAAAAAACAAAACAAAATCCCACTTCTCACGTGGACGAAATAAGTAACGGTAACAGGAAGAATGACCAGACTTTGATAAATTATAATACGTTTGGATAATAAATAGAATTTCTATAGATTTGGTTAAAATAAAAGAATTTGAAAAAGATTTGGGTAAAAAATAGACATTGCCCTTAAATTTTTGTTAAAGTTTTAGTGATTCAAACTTTGGGTATTTACGGGTATTATGTGTACCCGTTATCCGTCCCGTACGGGTAATGGGTACCCGTTTCCCAAACGGGTTTGGGACATGGGATGGACTTTGCTCTTCAAACGGAATTGGATACCCGTTTCAAACGGGACGGGTATCCCGTCCCATCCCGTTGCCCACCCCTAGCCTAGCTTGATTAGCGACCCAATCCGCCAACATGTTCAGCCTCCTTGAAACGAACTCAACTCGAATCCAAGGCGAGGAGTGCAAGATGGAGGCCATGCGCGCAAGGGATGCTTGACCGAGCCAAGGCCAGGAGGCCAGATTTATAATTAGATGGTTGTGATATACAACCAGTAAAAAATGAAAAAAAAAATATTTCAATATGTTCGTGTGACAAATATTACAAATGTTTGATATTTGATCGGAAGATTGGAAACATAGTACATACATGTCATGCTTACTCTTACCCATATGAGATTTTCTTTGAAAATTCTCAAACTAATAGCCAATGATTTGTGTTTGTTTTTGTTATTTTACTTCCCCATTACAGGGTTTGGGGTTGGGTGCATAATCGATCTCTTGTTATGTACCTATATTAATTCATTGATTTTATGTGGAGTCGAATCTAAGGAGTGGGATTAAAAGATCTTTTGTTATTATGTTATTTTTTTTAATCAATTCAAGTTATAGCTTAAATTTCAAAAAAAAAAAAATTGCCGAAATGAAAAAAATTCGTTATAATCTACAAAATAATATCCATTTTCAAAATATTTCGAGAAAATATTCATATTCAATTTGTTACCAGTTACCACACGTATACCACCTTAATTGTTAACTCATAGAAGAAATGGATAAAAAAACAAAACACCTTAATTAATTAATTATCTCATGTTTTTTTCTTCTATTGATTTCATTCTCATTCTACTACTCCCATGCTCCAAAATTATAAAACACCTAATTAGCCTACTTTCCCACAAGAGACCTATCTTCACTCTAACACCCTCACTTCACTTCCCCCGCCCTATGTTCTTAACATCCAATCAACGCCCCAACAACAGCCGCCGCACCGCCCCCTCCTCCTCCGCCGCCGCCGCCGCTCCCCCTCCGGCAACCATAGCCACCAACTCTTCCTCCTCTGCTCGCAGAGGAGCCGATGTCGACCACCACCACCATGATGACGACGGCGACGACAACGAAACCGAAGTCACGATACGTGACATCTACGCGCTGACCCCGCCGCGCCCTCCTCCGCCGCCACCGCCGGGGAGATCCCGCAGCCACCGCTCGTCGTCGCTCAGCAGCGGCGAGCTCGGAACCACCGCTACCACCACCTCAAGCGAGAACTTCACCACCATGAGCCGGGAATTCAACGCCCTCGTCCTCGCCGGCTCCGCCGCCGGCGGCGGCGAAGGTGTCGCCGGCGGGGGGAACGACGACAGCTACTTGGCGAGGATCGGGGAGGACGACGACGATGACGTGGCGGAGACGAACCCTCTGGCGATCGTCCCGGACCGCAACCCGCTGCTGGTGCTGGGGAGGGGAGGGTCCACGTCATCGTCGGAGGTGGCGCCGGTGAGCGGCGGCGGGGAAGGAGTGTCGACGGTGGGGAGAGTGAAGAAGGAGGAAGTGGAGACGAAGATCGGCGCGTGGCAGAACGAGGAGATTGCGAGAGTGAACAACAGGCTGAAGAGGGACGAAGCCATCATTAATGGGTGGGAGAATGAGAAAGTGCAGAAGGCTAATGCTTGGATGAAGAAGATTGAGGTAAATTAAATTGATGATTGATTAATTACTTTCCTCCATGTTAGTTAATTAACAGTTGTGTGTGTAGTTTTAGCAAAATTAGTGTGTGCTAAGCAAAGATGTGATGATGGCAGTTGATTGTATTGGGAAGAGATGGTTTTGCTTTTAATCTTTAATCAACTCTCTCATTGGATGTTATGTTTCAAGTGAATTATGAACAATGGACAAAATAGGGGAAGTTTGATGTCAAGTGTAAAATGGAAATGGTGTTAGATTTGTTTGAGCAGAGGTTTCAAATTTGAATTCATCATCTCTGTCTTATCAGTTTACAAGAAGAAAATTATGGCTTCAATGGGAAAAAATTTCTACTCAAAGACTTTTCTTGGAGTATTTTAAAATGGAAATATAATTCATACTTGAACAAATTGTAAAAAAAAAAAAATTACGCAAATACGACAATTTACGAGAATATTAGTTATTTTCCAACAATACCTAATTGAGTTTTGGCAAGAACATCATAAGTATGTTAATTTACGGGTTGTTTTATCATGGATTTAGGTTAGGTTGTTCATTAAGTTCCTCAAACAAGTTCGTCAAGGCGTCATAGAAGACTCGATTGGTGGTCCGGTGTTACGAGAGTGTCTTCAGATCCTTAGCTCTTTGTCTATTTGTATAGAGTTTAGGGCGGTACCTAGATCCGCCAACAGTGCTGCCCATAGAGTGGCGCGTAAAACACTGCTTTTGTCTCGTTTAGAGGTAGAATCTTTTGATTTTTTTGGGTGGCTTATTTAGAGTCTTTTGGAGATTTTGAGTAGAATTGTAAGTTTAACTATTTTTTTCTCCATTGATATTACTCAGATAAAAAAAAGTTAGGTTGTTCATTCAAAAAGTTAGGTTATTCTTGAATTTTTCACTTTTTTGGCCTTCCCAACCCTACCAATTCGTATGCATGGTTTTGGACGGCGTGGAAGTCTCAATCATCATATGGTTACATTGAGTGTTCCCATGAAAAAGACACGTCACGCCCGATTCCAATTCACAACCACTTGTTTAATTAGTTAGACCTAAACCTAAAGTTTCATACGTCAAAATTCCCAGCTAACCCATAATTTGTTTTGTAATTATTCGCTAATCTCTTTGATAATATACACCCGTTATGCCCCCCATAAAAAGAAAAAGGAAATGTACAAAGCAAAAAAAGGACAAGATTCTGAAAAGTCTAAAGCACTGAATGAGTATTCTAGATAATAAAGGTTAGGAACTTAATCCGTGTTGGACACCTAAACACTGTTTTTTTCTCCTCAATTTTTTTTGTCTTCATGGACAAATTCAATTTTTAGATTTCTCTACTTGGTTCGATGTGATTGTAAACGAATGTCACTTGTCTCATACATATTCATAAAATTTTACGCAATCAATTCTAGATACATTAACAAGGATTGTAAAACCGAACTTGGCGGCAATGCATGCACCGAAGTTTTGCATTTTTCATCTGCTTGAAAGAAGAAAAAAAATGAAATAATGTGCAGAGGAAGCTGGAGGAGAGGAGGGCAAGGGCACTGGAGAAGATGCAGAACAAGGTGGCGAAAGCACGCAGGAAAGCAGAAGAGAGGAGGGCATCTGCAGAGGCAAAAAGAGGGACCAAAGTTGCCAGAATTCTGGAGGTGGCCAATCTGATGAGAGCTGTTGGGAAAGCTCCAACAAAGAGGTCATTCTTCTGATGAAAAAAAAAAAAAAAAATTAGATGTATGAGATAATATTGTTATTATGAAAGTACCCCAGAAAATGGAGGTAACTAGCTAGCTAAGATACCCTGAGGGAGGGTTGGTTTTGGTCCTGTGTATAATGTTTTGGATTGCAGGGCAAGGTAACCCTAGGGGAGGGCTAGTAGTACATGTACACTAGTAGTATTATTATTATGGATGGGAGTGGATGGAGAGGGGGCTAAGGGAAGACTAATCCAGACCACAAAGCAAAATTATTTTGCTTGTTGTGTGTGTGTTCAAGGGATGTTACAGGGTGAGAGAATTTAGGGTTTTGAATGATATCTGGCGGACCGGACTTTTTTTGCGATTCTTTTGATACTGTAATGCACAGTTTGTAATCGTTATTATAAGTCTATATGTGCGCGCGCTTTGTTCTTTTTAATATGGTCGATTGAATAGAAATTCAGATGAGGACATTCGAGAAAATGACTTTGTAGGAGTAGGGGGTTGAACGTGACAGTTTTCTAGGGTCCTTCCACGACCCACGATTGGGATTGTTCATATGGTCATTTGAGCGGAAGAATAATTCATGTGATATTTTTTTTCTTCTTCACTATATGTTGTTGTAAGTTGTAACCTGTGGGTTTGCATATTTCGACTGCGTACTTACTATTTGTACACAATCACTCAAGCGACATGTAATAACTCTCCAATCGGTGTGATGTACATTCATCTAATCATTTCAACAGTGATCTGACAGAAATTAACTCCTGACTACGAATTACCAAAAGAACACGAGAATTTTTTTTTAGTTCAATGATCTCTATACCGAACACATCATAATTAAAACCATTCGTTATCATATATCTCGTTTCCCAAATGTAAATGAGAAAATTCAAAACCCTACATTGATACAACATTTAACAAGAGTCATACATCAATAAGTCACTCTCAAGTACATAGGTACTTAGCAAAATAATCACCGACACGTGTCACCACAAACTTGTGTCTTCGTAATTAATTAACAAAATAGGGTGTCCTTTGGCCATACGTATATTAGGTTTGGCCATCCCTTTCATATTTCGCACTCCCATTACATCACAACCAAACGATGCCTTACAAATTGGGAACCACCAGAAACACACCTTCCCTCCCAAATGCTCCTCCCTCATTGGCTCATCCCCAAAGCTTAAACGTCATCCCAAAAGACAAAATTAAAATAATATTCAACGAAAGATATTCATATTATCGTGTTTAATTTACCATAGAAATATAGTAAAAGAAAAAGAGCTGCAAAAAGATAAGGTACGATAGAGATTGTATCAAACAACACATACAGAAAGGGATAGTTGGAATACAAAGCACACAAGGATCTGCTCTGTGCCTCTGTCCAAACTTCCAGAGAAGCAAAAGCATACAGAATCTAGGATTCCAAGTTAGTCAATATATCAGGAGGATATCTTAGTCTAGTTAGCATGATCCCTAATGATGGTGACTTTCAGCAGTACATCGGTCCATCTTCGAAGGCACTCGAAGACGCAAATGTCTCCTGTTTCAACCGCGTTTTCGTCTGTAAATCTATCCCAGCCACCAGAGAAGTACACATACTTGTCATCCCTGTATCGATGCAATGCCACTGACCAAGTTTTATCCCCAACTTGAAGCTTCACCGACTTCTCATCCCCTGCAATGTGGCTTAATGAAAAGCTTCGCGGTACATGCTGCAAAGCCAAGTCAAGAAACACAACCATTAGCAACCATGTGTTCATATGGTATTCAATAAGAAGTCTCAAACAAGCAGGGATACGCGATACGAGCATTACCATTAGCGACCTGCTCAACTTGCTCGAAGTCATTCGGTAGTCGAAAAATGGATGCGACGATGTGAAAGTGCAGTACTTGGTCACAGACCCTTGTGCAGACGAACAATGTCCTTCTGCAATTTGCTCATCCTTGCCCCTAGTCGTCGCCATCTTCTTCGTCTTGCTCTCCTTACTTCGAGGCAGCTGAGTAACCTCCATTGGGGATTTACCCTTGTTTCCTTGATCAGGGGAATCTTCAATCACCTCAACTTTGGGCTCACGCAACAGCTCCACAGCCTCACCAGCTTTTGGCTGCTGGTTTCTACTGCAGGTTCTAGTAATTGGATACACAATCTCTGTAGCAGTTTTATCGAATATGACTACAGAGAACAAGGAGCAACCCTTGTACTCGAAAACCAGAAAATGGCCATATTCCAAAGAATGGAATTCAGCAAAATCTTGCCATCCATTGCCAAACCAGACCCCAATTTCATCCCTCACGAGATCCACCGCCCAACTCAGGCCGCTTGGAGCCTTCAGAATTGCCGAGCTCGACGACGACAAACCCTCCTCGAAATTCCTCACGAACCTCACCGGAATCAACTACGACATTTGCATGCATATGAACGGTAAAATCAATAACACGAAATCTAGCTCAAGGTCTAGAGGCAAAGACAGGTAAAAGAGATTGTGCTTACCAGCTTCTTGTCCCGAAGGGTTTGCAGGAGAATGATTTTGAAGAAACGGGTGCCCGCCAACCCGACGTTGCCCTCGATTCCTCCCTGGTCGCCAGAGGAAGTCATCTTCACTTTGAATGGAGAAACAGCTTAGCTTGCCCTTCTGCGCTGCAATGAAAGTCGAATGGCGAATTAAGGGGGCGGCTGTCTGATTCTAATGTTTAATGAACGGGAGAGACGGAGAGAACCACTGAGAACGCGCCAATTTGCTTGAACAAGACGCAAGTGGCGAACAGTGAGTTGTTGGATATTGCCGCCGGCCCACGGAGAAGGAATTTCGAAGCCCACGAAGCCCAACAATGAGAGTGTTAAGCTAGCACGTCGACCTCTTATATGCCCACCAGGTAGGGATTTTCCACGAGCAAATATATAAAAAGAGAGTTGGGAAATCAACAGAATGTACAGCCGATAACATCTCGTTGATTTCAACTCAAATTATCAACGTCAAAAGTAAAGCTGTAAAGGTATGTAATGGTAAAGCACGTTTCAATTTTCCCAGAAACGAAACTACAATGCTGGGAAGAGGGTTTATTGCAGTTGCTCAACAAAACATCTTCAAAAGATATGATATCACCAATAAACAAAAACTTGCAACTCGTTTTGTTTCGCCAACACCTTATTTCGTCACCATCAGACGAGAATCACAAAGAGTTTGAGATCTGTTGTGATTAACCTTCCAGTGCTGATGCTCCAGAGATAATCTCAATCAGCTCAGTGGTGATAGATGCTTGACGAGTCCTGTCAAAAAGACGATAAAGTATGCATCATCAGTTACTGTTAGTCACCAAGCTCGAATGTATCTTATTCATTTGATGTAGCCTGCACTCTCCAATTCTATTTAGTGTAACATCTATGATCCAATATTAAGAGATGCAGGAGGGGAAAAGAGGGGACCTGTTATAGAATATAGTCAGGCGGTCAAGCATATCTCCAGCATTTCTGCTTGAACTGTCCATGGCAGACATCCTTGCACCTTGCTCACTGCATGCATTCTCAAGCACTGCATTGAACATAACCTGGAAGAAAGAAAAAAAAGAACATGACGAGAAGTTCAACTCAGTTACATGACTTGAGAACATTGAGCAGTAAAAATTGGGCAAGGACTGGTCACAATTATGTATACCCATGTTACATGATAAGATCATGTCTTTTCCTAGTGTATTATATTCGGGGCACTTAACTTCAAGAGGCAAGGGACCTATCTTGGAAATCAAAATATGTTCATGAAATACAAAGATTGGGAACAAAAGCTTACACAAGAGAACTGGAACTCAGCAAGGTTCTGAAGAATTTCTCCCTTCGTTTCACCACCTTCAATCTCATAGGAATCGAGTGCGCCAAGCGTTCCACCAGCCTCGGCCTCTCTCTCAACAACCTATATCAGCATATCACTCGTAATCTGATTAAGAAATGGAGGCAAACATGATGAATAAGTATGAAAGACAAGATCCAGGAATCTTAATCACCTCAGGGGACAAGACAGTCGACATTGTAGGCAGAAATGCAACAACTGACTGAAATTTGTTGAAGACAATCCTCAAAGCATCAAATTCTACATTCTTCAAGATATCGTCAGCTAACACGGCAACCTGAATGGAAAAGCAACATTAGCTGAGTGCACAAGAAGACCGGGAAACAAGAAAAGATCTGTCACCCTAACAAACTTCTAATAGTTTGGGCAACAATGGACGCTGGACATTTACTACAGCATCTAAGGGGGAAAAACACTGATTAAGGTTACTCCGAGAAACCAACAAAGAGGAAAATGGACAAAGCGCTTATCAGATACAATACCAGTCTAGTTCCTTCACCAGCAAATAGTAATCATGCACCGTTGACTTCACCAATACTACTTACTAATCTAAATTCATTAAAAATTGATAGGCCATGGAGGTCATGAAATTATGAAGCATAGCCAACCTGAGTATAGTTCAAAGGATTCTTTTGCAACTCGGTGATGCATAACTCAATATCTTTCTTTGAATCACGCATCAGTTGAGCTTTCGCCTTTTCTCCCAAGATAACATACTTCACTTCCTTTTCTGGGCCTATCAGTTATGCATAAGGTTTGAGTTTGAAGGAAATAACAGACTGATCATCAGCATAAGTAACAGGAACTATATGGAGTAAGTATTCTGCAATATATAAGAAGAGAAGAATACCAGAAGTCAACTTGTGAATAGCCCTGCTTATCTTAACTGATGTAGAGTTAATTCCTCCACAGAGACCTTTGTCAGAGGAAATAGTGACAATGACATTTTTCTTCACTTCAACCCCTATTAAAACCATAACAAACATACAGCATGAAATGAGATATAAATAAAGCATAACTGCATAACACCAACAAGTAAAATTGTGAAATATAGCACAACAAACAGCAGTGAGTTACTGAAGTAGACAATAAAACTTGCATGGTAATTCAAATAATAAGGAAATTATTTCACTGTGACCATACCAGGAGTGTCACCAAGAAGAGCAGTAAAAGGCTGCCACAGGCCTCGTGAATTTTCAGCTCTGGTTTGAATTGCTCGCAACTTTGATGCAGCAACCATCTTCATAGCCTTGGTGATTTTCTGAATGTTCCTGACACTCTTCATCCGGTTTCTAACTGCAAAAGTAAACAACTAACAGTTAGTTGTTTCTTTTTGGTACTTATCCAGAAGGCACTCCCTGAGGTATGACAGCGACTCTCACCAATTTGAGTGGAGATTGAACGCACTCCCAGAGGAACTTGCTCCCTGTGAAAACATAAGAACAATTAATTCCTTAAACTAGGACACAGGTAAGAAAAATAATAATGAGATCTTAAATCATAACATACCATAGAGCTAGAAGCAGAATGGTTCAGAAAAAAGAAACCAGCCAAAGTTCTCAACTCTACTCCAAAAATTTTATAACTAGTACATGTTGTGATATTAACATCATGTACACCGCATAAACAAGATTTCACATTCGTTCCCATTATACTATGTAGGGAAATGAACTTGTTATAGCTAATAATTGTATCAAAACTTAAAACCATACAGAAATTTAAACCAATACCCTTTGGGTAATCATCCAAGTTTCACCGAGCCCTCTCGATAAGAAACTAACAAAAGACAGACAGGATACCAGGGTTCACATACAAAATTCAGTATATGTAAGTACAACAAATAGGTAATAACTGCATCAAAACTTCAAAGCGACACACTTTGAATAATCATCCTTAATTAACCTAAACCCTCTTGATAAGAAACTAGCAAAAGACTGAGACATGATGCCAGGGTTCAGACACACAACTTTCGGTACATGTAATCACAGCAAAAAGGCAATCCCAGTTGAGGATTTTTCCAATTCCTTAAGAAAACATTTTTATGCAAAATCAATTCCATCATCAAAATGAGAAGAATATAACACAAAATGGAAGTACAAATCCCACAAAATCCCATTCAAAACTGCACTTTTTGACCTCATTGACATTAGGGAAAATATCGCACACATCATCCTCAAAATCGGCAAGAAATTAAGGCTTAGGTTTTTCCACACTATTCGGCTTCTAAACCAATTCCATTGATTTCGCACAACTCTTATCTTTCAGCGGCCAAGCAATCAACTTTTGCAGACTCAAGCGGGCAGGTGGTTCAAATATCCCCCGACGTCCGTCGTGCAGCCAAAGATAAGACCCAAAATCGAGACAGAAGAAATAAACCAGGAAATGGGACAAGGAGACGCGGAGAGATGGAGAAAAGGATGATAAACGAAGAGATCGACATACTCAGAGATGAGAGCGGATCGAATATCGGGCATTGGTCGGGGAGCGGTGATGGAGCCGGCGAATCGCCTCCCTTCGCGTCTCAAAGCAGCCATCGCCATTGTTGCGTGAAGAAGGTGTGATCTGCAACCCTAAACGCAGAGAACTACGGTGGTCTGATTCCCAGATGCGTTCTCCTAGAGAAAAACGAGTCCAATTTAGATTAATTGTCAGCAGCTTTGCCTGGGACTGGGAGACTTCCTCAACGCCAATTTTGGGAATGAGGGATTTCAGTGAGAAGTGGGTTCAGAGACATAACCACTGGCCAGCCCTCACAATATACCAGCCCACCGGGCCCAACAATATGCCCATATTCAATGTCCAACAAGGCTCGGAAAGCGATGGGCCCAGCCCAACCAAGACTAGGAAGCACGAAGTACGACTGAGAATTACTGTTCGCCGGACCCGGTTTCGGAGCTCCAACGATGAGGAGGAAGACAGCGGATTAGGGTTCTGGGAGTGAAGGAAGATGAGAGAGTTAATGGCCAGCGATCAATTCAACATCGAAGAAGCCGATTTAGCCGTCTTTCCGATCACCGTTGTCTCACAAGCAGGCCGCCGGATGTTGTTTATCTCGAGGCACGGTACGATTGGGCGAGTAACATCGCCGGGAAATTTCAGACGGTGGTCAGGGATTTGCTGCAATTTCTGTTCAGCTGTTCTTCCAAGTGTCCTCCATGCTACCAATTCGCGCCAATTCGCCCGTTCACCCACCATGGCCCCTCAAACATGAAATGCGTGATTCAAGAAACGGTCCTTTCTGCCACATGTTCTTCCCGTTATCATCAGGTAGAACCTATAAATCTCGGCTGCTACACTGCTTTCCCACATCAATCTAAACTACATTCCAGGTTTTCCCCATTTACCCTGTTTTGTAATTTGTTCATATGCTGTTATTTCATTTTTCCTGACTTTGTAGTCCATCTATATCTTCAGAAGAAGTGTTCTTACAAGTGCTGGAAATGGACCTTGGAGCTTCTCTTGGTGTCCCCAGTGTTCAAGAGCTTGCTAGGAGCTTGAAGGACGTACCAGATAGGTTTATACGTCCTGAACTCGAGCTGGATATCGTTAGTAAAGATGAGTCAGTTCCAGTGATCGACATGAGCAAGCTGGTTGGCGGTCGTGATGATGAAGAAGATGAATTGGCTAAGCTTCATGCGGCTTGTAGAGATTGGGGATTCTTCCAGGTATGGCTAATCAAGAGTTTTATTCTTCCTTTCTTTCATGAACTATTGGGCTTGTATTGTGAGTGTCATGAAAAGCAGAATGTTGGATAGATTGGGTGGAAGTTCAATACTTTGATGGTAATTTATGGTGTTATTGTGGTTTCCATGAATTATGTCCTCTAAAAATCTGCCATGGAAACCAATCCTAAACCCGACCGGAGCACATTTTTGTATCATGTGAAAGCAGGTGATCAACCATGGAGTCGCGGAGGAGGGGATTCTGAAAATGAAGGCGGATGTTCAAGAGTTCTTCAGGCTGCCTCTGCAGGAGAAAATGGAATATGCACGACTGCCTGATGACATCCAAGGATATTCCGCGTCACACGTGGTACCAAGAGGGCGAAAGCAAGATTGGAGCGACTTTCTCTACATTTTCCCACAACCTCGAGATGGAAGAAACCTGAGGTTTTGGCCAAGAGTTCCCTCTTCTTTCAAGTAAGCTCCCTCGCATCACTTAGCCAAATGCATATACATTTCTTCACTCTAAAAGTTTTGGCTACACTTGCTTAATTGACTATAGTGGAAGTGCAATCTCTAGGCCAACCACTAACCAAAAGCTCTGGCTTGCCCCTTTTCCGTGCAGGGAAACTCTGAACCAGTATTCAACAGAGATGAAAAAGCTGAATACTGCCTTGCTGAGTTTCATGGCAAGGAACCTGGGACTCGAGCCAGAAAAGCTGCTATCTTTGTTCGAAGGTGGTCGTCAAGGTGTAAGAACGAACTATTATCCACCATGTAGGCAAGCAAACAAGGTTCTTGGTAGCTCCCCGCATTCGGACCTTGCTGGATTGACATTGTTGACTCAAGTGAATGAAGTACAAGGTTTGCAAATCAAGAGAAACGGGAAATGGATTCCCATTGATCCCATTCAAGATGCTTTCATCGTTAATGTTGGCGAGATGATTGAGGTAATAGCAGAAACTGGGTTAATTAGGACAACTAAAGACTCTTTGATATATACATATATAACCAATTCATATCGGTAACAATGTCTAATATGTACTTACAGATCATGAGCAATGGAGAATACAAGAGCATAGAGCATAGGGCAGTGGTGAATCCTGAAAAGGAGAGGCTGTCCATTGCAACATTCCACAACCCAAACTCTAACGCTGTGATTGGACCTTTGCCAGACATTCGCGGTAAGGATGGGAAGAAGCAAGCACCAAAGTACAAATCCATGCCGTACCAGGAATATATGACAGAACGACTTCGTCAAAAGAAAAAAGTTTATGATGAGGAGGGAAAACCCGAAAACCCCGCTCATCAGATGAAGTTACATACCGAAGCTGCATAGTCAATTCAAGCCCCTCTATGGTCAAAAAGTAGCTGCAAAGTGTCAAATTATGGCAAATGGAAGCCTGTTGTTTCAGATTGAGAATATCACCATTAGTAGTCGGGATTCAGACTCTGAAACCCAGTATCATATCTAAGCAAAAGATTGCAACTTTAATTAGAAATCACAAGGAGTCCCATCCTGCAGCTGTCTAATGACGACCTTGAAATCTTTCTGAGTCATGGTTTGGGGAAGGTGGATGTAGGGGGTGTCGTTTAGTGTGGTTATGTTGCGGATCATGCACGTAGATAGCATGGCCGAGACGTTTTGGGTGTTTTGTGTTGCACTTAATTATTGTGGGTAGCCGATTGTAATTAGCTAGTTGATTATAATCGAAACCCTAGTTGATATGTAGAAGGGTCCGGCTGGGTATAAGTAGGTTGCATGGCCGCTGCTGCTAGGTAATCAAAAGTGAAGTAAAATTGACTAGAGAGCCCTAGCTCTTCGTGGAGTAGTCTCGTTCACATTGAACCGGGAAATCACGTAAATTGCGTGTGTTTGTTCTTGATTTCTTGCGTTTTATTATGGTATCGAAGGTGTTGACTTTCATGACACTTTTGCACCAGTTGCAAAACTCATCACAGTACGTTGTATTGTAGCTCTAGCTGCTCAGCGCGGATGGTTACTTCATCAACTTGACGTGAACAATGCGTTCCTGCATGGTGATCTGGAGGAGGAAGTCTATATGCGGGTCCCTCAGGGATTTGCTCGACCGGGGGAGAGCAGAGTATGTCGTCTGCGCAAATCTCTTTATGGACTCAAGCAAGCATCACGTAACTGGTACATGAAGTTTACACAAGCCCTGGTCGGTTTTGGTTTTACTTGCTCACGGGCGGATCATTCTCTTTTTATTCGTAGACGCGGTGATCGTTTTACTTTCGCACTCATCTATGTTGATGATATAATACTTGGTGGAGACTCCTTGGAAGACATTCAGCAGGTGAAAGACTTCTTGCATCATCGCTTCAGCATAAAAATCAAGGGCGAGCTGAAATATTTCCTGGGGATTGAGGTCTCACGGTCTCGGAAAGGCATCATTCTTACCCAGCGAAAGTATGCATTGGATATCTTTGTGGATACAGGCGCTCAAGGAGCGCGTCCTTGCTCATTTCCCGTTGAAGGTCTTGAAGCGGCTGATCCCTCGGCTTTTCGAAGACTCGTGGGTCGGCTATTATATTTAACGGTCACACGACCCGATATTGTGTATGTAGTGAACATACTCAGCCAGGCACATGTGGAAGCAGCGCAGAGAGTCCTTCGTTATTTAAAGGGTGCTCCGGGAAAATGATTGTTTTTCCCGACTGATAGTTCGATAGAGTTGGTTGGCTACTGTGACGCAGACTGGGGAGGGTGTCAGAAAACTCGACGTTCTACTACAGGATATTTTATTCAGTTGGGAATGAGTCCAGTATCCTGGCGTGCTAAGAAGTAGATTGTATTAGCGAGATCTTCTGCAGAGGCAGAATATAGAGCTATGGCTAGCACCGTAAGCAAAATCATTTGGTTACGATGGCTTTTCCAAGAGCTAGGAGTGGATATGAAATCTGCAACTCCTCTGCATTGCGATAATCAGACAGTTTTGCACATTGCGGCGAACCCAATATTTCATGAACGAACGAAGCATGTCGAGATGTACTGTCATTTCGTTCGTGAATGTGTGACATCACAAGAGATAGCGCCGCAGGATCAGATAGCAGATATATTCACGAATGGCTTGGGTGCAGATCGGTTCACTTTTCTCCCTTCCAAGCTTGGCCTTCATAACCTTCATGTCTCCGCTTGAGGGGGAGTGTTGCGGATCATGCACATAGATAGCATGGCTGAGATGTTTTGGGTGTTTTGTGTTGCACTTAATTATTGTGGGTAGCTGATTGTAATTAGCTAGTTGATTATAACTGAAACCCTAGTTGATATGTAGAATGGTTCGGCTGGGTATAAGTAGGTAGCAGCCGCTGCTGCTAGGTAACCAAAAGTGAAATAAAATTAACTAGAGAGCCCTAGCTCTCCGAGGAGTAGTCTCGTTCACTTCTAATAGGGAAACCACGTAAACCGCTTGTGTCCGTTCTTGATTTCTTGCGTTTTATTAGGTTATCCATATCAATTTAAAGTTGGATTGCTAACCACATACGCACTATATGCGGTTGGCAGTTACCCATTAACCGCATCATGCGGATAGCAGTTATACAAGGTTAACCCGTAAAACCTGTATTACCTAATGACTAAGAAACAAGAAAACAAACATAGAAAATCTTCTGACTTCACTCATAAATAAACCATTCATTTTTTATATTACCATCCAATAACAGAGAGAAATAAATGATACATATAATGCATGAGTTGATAATTGGAAATACTAGAATAAACTAAGTAGTAGTTAAATATCATGTATAACTCCAATGTATCTTCTGACTTCACTCATCCTCCTTAACTCTTTGACAGTGGCAACCCTAGTCCAGAACTAGGGGTGTTCAAATGGTTACCATGGTAACAAAATATTATAACCAAATCGTCCAAACTAATACAATAACTAAATTAACCAAACTAAAGTTTAATTGGTTTGGTTAATTGGTTGACCAGATTAACCAATATAACATCACATTATCATTATGTGCGAAAAAAATTTGGTTAATGCATCAATTTTCAATTTATGTAATGAATAAACCATAACAATCAATACATAGTTATAGTTAACCCTTTTAAATACATGCAACTAATACAATTATCTTACAGTCAATAGAAGTATTCACCTAACAAAAAATATATGCAATTATCGTATGGGGTTAATGAATTGTTGTGTTTGTGTGAATTGACTTAGTCTCTTAGCAATTATCGTAGGCTGAAAAATGCATTCCTTTCAAGTATTCATCCAACATAATGTATGAGTTTTATCTATATTAGTCCTCCATATGTTGTCGTCCATACTCTACAAATACAAATATATAGTATAGGAACAATATTGAGCTTTATTTTATAAGAGCCTAAGAGGGAAAAACGTTTGACTCTTGAGTGGTTATGCAAATATTAAGTATGTGTATATAACATATTAGATATATGGATAATTAATTAACTTGTTAATTAGCTTTGATTGGTTAGAAGTGTCGGAAACCAAACAATACCACTTAAACCAAACAAATTAAAAAATTTAACAAACAAAATTATCCACATACCATCAATTAAAAAAATTACCACGATAATCACTCCCTTTGAACACCCCTACTAGTCCCTAGCTGAAACTTGAAAGGAACTCGCCGAAATTAACATTTGGAGCAGCAGGCTTAGCTTAGACATGGTAAATTTTTATTGGGTTGGTTAGCTTATGCAGTTATTCAAACGGTTAATACGGTTAACAAAATGGATATCTCTTGGTAACCTAATTTACTACAGTTATTTGCAAAGACCCTTGTCACAGATACAATTTGCTCAATATGTTCAGAAGCATCAGAAACTTTTACCCATTTATTCTTTGACTGCAGGATAGCTCGTGGCATTTGGGAGCTAGCTAACTTGGAGTATATTCGTGACCACCTAGTGGGTTTGGCTTCTGACGATGCATGGAAGGAACTCTTCTTTGGCTTGAACTTATCAAAAGTTCAGATTGTCAATGTAGTCTTCTTATTTTGGCGGATTTGGAAAGGCAAGTGTAAGTCTGTTCATGGTGGGATCCAATACTTGCCCCCAACTTTGTTCCGGCAATTTTCCTTGCAGGTAACGGAATGGCAAGAGGCTTCACAATCACGGGCAGGGGCACCTCGGGCTGGAGAAGTGGCTACAAGAGTTGGACCAGCACCACATTCCGGCATTCTGTTTTCCAGCTTGGGTAGTGACGTCCCATGTCCAGCAGAGGCAATGTTAGTGCGCTTTGATGGTGCTCTGAAACGAGGTGTTGGGGGTAGCATTGACTTCGTAGGGTTCGATGCTTCAGGGACACTAAGCTTTGCATTTGGAAGGTATTATGATGGGATGTCGAATCCTTTTCTTATGGAACTTCTTGCTCTTCGAGATGCCATGAGATGGTGCATAACTAAGTCTCTTGTTTTGGCAAAATTTTATGGTGAATCGCAACTAGTGATACGACGGGTGCTGACGGGGGATCATGGACATGACACTTGAGGACATCTCCTTGCTGGCCAAGAACTTTATCTTCTGCTCCTACCATTTTGCTCCTCGGAGCTTTAACAGGGCTGCCCATCTTATGGCGAAACAGGTCCTTTCATCAGAAGTTCTATATTTAGTCGACTTTCGCCCGGGGTTATTGTCCGCTCTTTGACTATGTGGTTTTCTCTCCTCTTTGACTATGTTAAAAAAAAAAACTTAATTTACTACAGGCCCATATTTAATGGGCGACCACTTCATCCCGTAAATTGCCAACAGGGCTCGGAAAGCGATGGGCCCAACCAAAACTAGGAAGCAGTCAAATAAGGGGTCGTTTGGAAGTTGTGATTTCAAATGGTGTATTGATCTAATTCATGTATTTGTGAGATTAAGTCGTTTTTTTTTTTGTTTATATAGAACTAGAATACATGCATTTACTTTTTGGATGCCCCACCACAATCACTCAATATTGAGGGATTTACAATCTCTACTTCTTGTTGAGATTCTTCACAATCACTCAATACTAACTTTTTTTACCTTTGGAACAAAAACACAATCTAAACCTCCAAACAAGATATTTACCTAATACATCAATTGATTCATTGAAAAATCACAATTTCCAAACAACCCTAAGCTTCATAGATACGGCAGAAGGCAGAATTACTGTTCGCCGGACCCGTTTTCGGAGCTACAACGATGAGGAGGATTAGGGTTCTGGGAGTGAAGGAAGTTGAGAGAGTTTACGGCGGGCGATCGATTCAACAACGAAGAAGCCGATTACCCGTCTTTCCGAGAACGAGTGTCGCACAAGCAGGCCGCCGGATATTGTTTGTCAGGGCGCGGTACGTTAGGGCGAGCAACGTCGCCGGGAAATTTCAGACGGTGGTCAGTGATTTGCTGCGATCTCTGTTCAGCTGTTCTTTCCAAGTGTCCGCCATGCCAGCAAATAACGCCAATGCGCCCGTTCATCCACCATGGCCCCTCAAACATGAAATGCACGAATCAAATCTATTCAGCTGTTCGTCCAAGTGTCCGCCATGCCACCAATTCGCGCCAATTCGCCCGTTCACCCACCATGGCCCCTCAAACATGAAAGGCGTGAATCAAGAAACGGTCCGTTCTGCCGCATGTTCTTCCCGTTAACATCTGGGGATAGCCTATTGACACTTGCTTGAAATAGCTGGCTTTGTTATCCTGTTCTCCATCAGGTAAACCTATAAATCGCCGCTGCTACACTGCTTTCCCACATCAATCTAAGCTACATTCCAGGTTTTCCCCATTTACTCTGTTTTGTAATATGTTCTAATGTTGTTACTTCATTATTTCCTGACTTTTCAGTTCATCTATATCTTCAGAAGAAGTGTTCTTACAAGTGGTGGGAATGGAGCTTGGAGTTTCTCTTGCTGCCCCCAGTGTTCAAGAGCTGGCTAGGAGCTCGAAGGACATACCAACTAGGTATGTACGTCCTGAACTCGAGCTGGATCCAGTTTCTAAAGATGAGTCTGTTCAAGTTCCAGTGATCGACATGAGCAAGCTGGTTGGCGGTCGTGATGATGAAGAAGATGAATTGGCTAAGCTTCATGAGGCTTGTCGAGATTGGGGATTCTTCCAGGTATGGCTAATCAAGAGTTTTAATCTTCCTTTCTTTCAAGAACTATTGGGATTGTGGGTGTCATGAAAAGCGGAATGTTGGATAGATTAGGTGGAAGTTCAATACTTTGATGGTAATTTATGGTGTTATTGTGGTTTCCATGAATTTGGTCCTTCACAAATCTACCATGGGAACCGATCTTAAACTCAATTTGGTGTCATGTGAAAGCAGGTGATCAACCATGGAGTTGCGGAGGAGGTGATTCTGAAAATGAAGGCTGATGTTCATGAGTTTTTCAGCCTGCCTCTGCAGGAGAAAATGGAATATGCACCACTGCCTGATGACATCCAAGGATATGCCCCATCCCACGTGGTATCAGAAGGGCGAAAGCTAGATTGGAGTGACTTTCTCTACATTGTTGCACAACCTCGAGATGGAAGAAACATGAGGTTTTGGCCAAGAGTTCCCTCTTCTTTCAGGTTAGCTCTCTCGCATCACCTAAGCCGAATGCATGTACATTTCTTGACTCTAAATTTTTTGGCTGCACTTGCTTAATTGACCAGTAGAAGTGCCATTAGGCCAACCACTAACCAAAAGCTCTGGCTTGCCCCTTTTCCATACAGGGAAACTCTGAACCAGTATTCAACGGAGCTGGAAAAGCTGAAGAGTGCCTTGCTGAGTTCTATGGCAAGGAATCTGGGAGTCGAGCCAGAAAAGCTGCTAACTTTGTTCGAAGGTGGTCGTCAAGGTGTAAGGACAAACTATTATCCACCATGTAAGCAAGCTAACAAGGTTCTTGGTAGCTCCCCACATTCTGACGCAGCTGGATTGACATTATTGACTCAAGTGAATGAAGTAAAAGGCTTGCAAATCAAGAGAAACGGAAAATGGATTCCCATTGATCCAATTCAAGGTGCTTTCATCGTTAATGTTGGCGACATTATTGAGGTAATAGCAGAAACTGGGTTAATTAGGAAAATTAAAGGCTCTTTAATATGTGTGGGTGTATATATATAACCTACTCATATCGATAACAATGTCAAATATTGTCTGACAGATCATGAGCAATGGAGAATACAAGAGCATAGAGCATAGGGCAGTAGTGAACCCTGAAAAGGTGAGGCTGTCCATTGCAGCTTTCCACAACCCAAACTCCAATGCTGTGATTGGACCTTTGGCAGACATTCTCGGTAAGGATGGGAAGAAGCAAGCACCAAAGTACAAATCCATATCGTACCAGGAATTTATGATGCTTAGGGAAGACCCTAAAGCCGATGGCAAAGAGAAAAGCCCCGCTCATCAGATGAAGTTACAAACCAACGATGCACAATGAATCGAAGCCCCTCCATAGTCGAAAAGTAGCTGTGTAGATTCAAATTACTGCAAATGGAACCTTGTTGTTTCAGATTGAGAATAACCATTAGTAGTCAGGATTCAGACTCTGTAACCCAGTACCATAACTAAGCACAAGATTGCAACTTTCCTAGTCGTGGTTCGGGGAAGGTCTTGAATAGAAGGACCTCACCAAGAACCTCTGAGACCTGCAGAATCAAAGTTGATCTTCTTTTCTGGAGCAATCTGTGGAAGCAGAAATCTGTTGTCCACAATGTTCGTATTTTGCAGCGAAGCATATGGAGTAACTGAATTCAAAGTCTTCACCAATGGCATAACAGAAAGAATACATAATAGAGAGATGACGTTCATAAAAAAATTGCAGATAAAAGTTCATACTCCAAAAGATAATTAGAATATTCAGCCAGTCATATTCATGGACAAGATAGAACTTTTGTTTCGCAAGTCTTAACTCACGAGGCAAAAGAGTTACGCCCATATCTTCATTGGGATGCATCAATTCTTATTTCTTACCCTGCTTCTAAAGGACATACAACCTTCCGCTAGCACTTGCACAATTCATCAACATAAATGGAAGCCAATTTATCCAAAGACATCATCCATCTCTGCACAACCAGAGCCGGGTTGCCCAAATTAGATTTTGTGGGATCAATCTTGGAAAGCAATATATATGATAATGAATTACAAATATTGCGAACAAATACTTGCACAAGAGAACTGGAACTCAGCAAGGTTCTGAAGAATTTCTCCCTTTGGGAATGAGGGATTGGAGTAAGAAGTAGGTTCAGAGAGATAATCACTATCCAGCCCGCACAAGATGACAGCCCACCAGGCCTAAAACCCAATTTACTACAGGCCCATATTCAATGGGCGACCACTCCCGTTTATTACCAAGACAGAGAAGCAGTAAAAGAAGTTTCATAGATACGGTTAAAATTACTGTTCGCCGGATCCGTATTCGGAGCTCCAACGACGAGGAGGAAGACAGCGGATTAGGGTTCTGGGAGTGAAGGAAGATGAGAGATTTTACGGCGGGCAATCATTTCGACAACGGTGTTGCACGATTGGGCCGCCGGATATTGTTCGCCGGGAAAATTTGAAACGACGGTCAAGGATTTGACGCGATACCACCAAATTGGAACAGAGATGATGAGACTGCATGAATCAAGAAATTATCTGGTCAGCTTGTTCTTCCAAGTGTCCGCCATGCCAGTGAATCGCGCCAACTCGTCCGTTCACCCACCATGGCCTTTCCTTCAAACATGAAATGCATGAATATCTATTCAGCTGTTCTTCCCAAGTGTCCGCCATGCCACCAAACCGCGCCAATTCTCCGCCCGTTACCCATAGTGGAATAGCCTACTGAGACTAGCTATAAATTACTGACCTCTGTTTCCCTGTTCTCCATCTGGAAAACCTATAAATCGCCGCTGCTAGCTACACTGCTCTCCCACATCAATCTAAGCTACATTCTAGGTTTTCCCCATTTACCCTATTTTGCAATATGTTCATATGTTGTTACTTCATTTTTTCCTGACTTTTCAGTTCATCTGTATCTCCAGAAGAAGAAGAAGTGTTCTTACAAGTGCTGGGAATGGAGCTTGGAGTTGCTCTTGGTGTCCCCAGTGTTCAGGAGCTGGCTAAGAGCTTGAAGGAGGTACCAACTAGGTATTTACGTCCTGAATTCGAGCTCGATGAAGTTTCAAAAGATGAGTCTGTTCAAGTTCCAGTGATCGACATGGGCAAGCTGGTTGGCGGTCGTGATGATGAAGAAGATGAATTGGCTAAGCTTCATGAGGCTTGTAGAGATTGGGGATTCTTCCAGGTATGGCTAATCAAGAGTTTTAATCTTCCTTTCTTTCAAGAACTCTTGGGCTTGTTGTGAGTGTCATGACAGGCAGATTGTTGGATAGATTAGGTGGAAGTTCAATACTTTGATGGTAATTTATGGTGTTATTATGGTATCCATGAACTATGTCCTCTAAAAATCTGCCATGGAAACCAATCCTAAACCCGATAAGAGGTGTCATGTGAGAGCAGGTGATCAACCATGGGGTTGCGGAGGAGGTGATTCTGAAAATGAAAGCGGACGTTCAAGAGTTCTTCAGCCTGCCTCTGGAGGAGAAAATGGAATATGCGCGACTGCCTGATGACATCCAAGGATATTCCCCATCGCAAGTGGTAACAGGAGGGCGAAAGCTAGATTGGAGTGACTTTCTCTACATTTTCACGCAACCCCGAGATGGAAGAAACATGAGGTTTTGGCCAAGAGTTCCCTCTTCTTTCAGGTAAGCTCCCTAGCATTACTTAGCCAAATGCATATACATTGCTTCACTCTAAAAGTTTTGGTTGCACTTGCTCAATTGACTAGTGAATGTGCCATCTCTAGGCCAACCACTAACCAAAAGCTCTAGCTTGCCCCTTTTCCGTGCAGGGAAACTCTGAACCAATATTCAACAGAGCTGGAAAAGCTGAATACTGCCTTGCTGAGTTTCATGGCGAGGAACCTGGGACTCGAGCCAGAAAAGCTGCTATCTTTGTTCGAAGGTGGTCGTCAAGGTGTAAGAACGAACTATTATCCACCATGTAAGCAAGCAGACAAGGTTATTGGTAGCACCCCACATTCTGACGTAGCTGGATTGACATTATTGACTCAAGTGAATGAAGTACAGGGTTTGCAAATCAAGAGGAACGGGAAATGGATTCCCATTGATCCCATTCAAGGTGCTTTCATCGTTAATGTTGGCAACTTTGTTGAGGTAATAGCAGAAACTGGGTTAAGTAGGACAACTAACTCGTTGATATATCTATATATAGAAAACCAATTCATATCGGTAATAATGTCGAATATGCACTGACAGATCATGAGCAATGGAGAATACAAGAGCGTAGAGCATAGGGCAGTAGTGAACCCTGAAAAGGAGAGGCTGTCCATTGCAACATTCAACAACCCAAACTCTAACGCTGTAATTGGACCTTTGCCAGACATTCTCGGTAAGGATGGGAAGAAGCAAGCACCAAAGTACAAATCCATGTCGTTCCAGGAATATATGGCGGAACGACTTCGTGAAAAGAAAAAAAAATATTATGCTTAGGGAAAGCCCGAAAGCCGACGGCAAGGAGAAAGCCCCGCTCGTCAGATGAAGTTGCAAACTGAAGCTGCACAATGAACACAATCCCCTCGGTCAAAAAGGAACTGCAAAGTGTCGAATGATGTCAAATGGAACCTTGTTGTTTCGGATTGAGAATAACCATTAGTAGTCAGTATTCAGACTCTGTAACCCAGTACCATAACTAAGCAAAAGATTGCAACTTTAACTAGAAATCACAAGAAGACCCATCCTGCAGCTGTCTAATGACGACCTTGATATCTTTCTGAGTCATGATTCGGGGAAGGTGGATGTGGACAATGAATAGAATTACCTGCGCTCCGAGTTGTCAATAGCTCCATAAGATAGGGATTAAAGATCCTGTTGAACCCAATGCCCTAGAAAGAGGGATCCGTCAGCTGCCCGGATAACTAAAACCAGAAGACACTGAGAACCTTTTGGAACTGCAGAATCAAAGTTGATCTTCCCGCAGCAATCTGTTGGAAGCAGAAATCTATTGTTGTCCACAATATTGATATTGTTAAGCTAATGGAGGAACTGAATTCATAGTCCTGACCAATGGCATAAGAGAAAGAATACGAGATGAAGTTCATAAAAAATGAAAAGAGGCATATCAAAGTCCATACTCCAAAAGAGAATTGAAATATGGGGTCAGCCATATTCATATACAAGAAGATAAGAGTTTTTGCTTCTTCAACTCATAAGGAAAAAGAGTTCCCGCCGTATCTTTCTACAAAAAATGTAATGCGGATGCATCAACTCATACCCCGCTTCTACAGAACATACAACCTCTGCCAAACATCTACACAATCCATCAACATAAAATGAAAGCCATAAGAGGCAAATCACAAGTGCTTTTGCAAGCGCCAATGCTCAAATTTAGCTGCACCATCGACCTTACACACATTCGATCCCGGACTATCTGAAACCCAGCTTTAAACTCGTCTTTCTGGACAATCAAATGGCTGCTTCCCTTAAGGAAAGGTCATGCCGTGCATCTTGCAAATGTCAATGAGACGCATGCTTACGACTGTGGAATCACGGATATCTTCCTTTGCAGCAAAAATATTCAGGATACCCATTAATGCAGCCACTTTTGGGGGCAATTTACTTGGTTCCTTAGCTCTTTTACCACTTCTGCCCAAAGAACGATCTCGCTGGCTCGTCATCGTGTGCTCTACGTTGTCCACCACATTAGTTTCTGCACCAGCCTCGGATTCCAACTGCTCACCAGAGGACTCCAGCTTCCTCTTCGAAGCGAACCCTTGTTGTGCTGCTTCTCTCTTTCCATCAGCCGTGTGATCTACTGCTATTGCAGATTGTAACCCCTCGGCAGCCTGAATAGATTTCAGTCCTTGTTTTTGTTCTTTGGTGGTAGATCCCATTTTCTCCAGAGATTTCAGGGATCCCAGTAGAACTAGAGCCGGCTCAATGCCCAAATTAGCTTGTGAAGTCTGCAGAAACTCACTTTCGCAGAAATTTCCCCGTTCTTTCTCACTCACAGTTGTTAGTCCTTTCAATGGAGACCCCAATTTCTCCAAAGACATTATCGATCTCTGTACAACCAGAGCCGGGTTGCTGCCCAAATTAGATTGTGGAGTCCGCAGCAATGGAGTTCCGCTACAACTACTAGTACCCTGACCCTCTCGTTCCTCGGATAAAGACTGCAATACGCCCTGGCATCTCGTTAGTCTCTTCCAGTTTTTCTCACTCACGGGAATTTCAGAACCCCCACCTTTATCAGGATTTTTAAATGATATGCCAAGAGGTTCGCAAACACCATCACCGAAACCTAATTCCCCATCTAACACCCTACGTTCTTCAGATTGGCAGAGAGTTACCTTGTCCGGGCTTTCGACCCTCTCCTTAGAATTCGATTCCTGCTCGATTGAGAACAGATGATACGTATCCCTGCTCAAGTAGGCAGCTGCCGAATCCTCTTCCGAAGAATCGCCACTGATCACCAAGGTACCTTCGTCGCTGTCGTCGTCATTTCCAACTCGGCCGCTCGCCTGAACGCCACGGCCGGGGCTGCCCCCGGCTTGATTCTCCTCGACGGGGGACTCCGGCGGAGATTCCATCCTTATCGGCGTTGATTCGCGGAGGAGATCGGCGGAAGCGGCATCTTGGCTAGAGTCGGAGATGAAAGGGATGTGGGAATCCCGAGGAGGCTCCAGCAAGAAACGAGAGCGGCGCAAGTACTCGTCTTGAGAAGAAGATACCGAGCATAGCTCGGCTACCGAAGCGAAAGGGTCGATCGCTGCCATTGGACGGAAGTTTGGGAAGGGGAGTGGAACTGTGGGAAGATTAGGGTTTTGGAAAGAGCTAGTGCGCGAGGGAGGGAAAATACAGAGATAATTTCAACTTTCCCGCCCTTTTGGTTATACCCAATCCCAGACTCCAGAGAGTAGAGGACAGGAACGATAGGCTTTGGGGATTTAGGTAGGGATGGCAATGGGTCGGGTTAGGGCGGGTTTTGTCAAACCCAAACCCAAATCTATGGGTTTATCCGCCAAAAATTTTCGGGGTAAAATTTGTTGGGTTTGAAAAACTCAAACCCAACCCAACCCGCTGGGTATCCGCGGGTTCATGGGTACCGGTGGGTTTTTGTGGTAAAAAATTTACAATAACAAGTTTCTTTCAAAATAAAAGTTTAACATCAATTTTCTCATACAAAAAACATCAATCTAGAGCATACAAGCAAACCGCAAATGATCAATACAAATTGTTTAAAAATAAAGATAAACATCTATAAACAATAAGATTAATTGAAAGCTTCTTCCTCGTCAACTAAGTTTCTTCACTCTCCACTTCATAATATCAACTTCATTCTAAACAATTAGAAAGAACAAATTATACATGTCTCCACAAACATAAAGAATATTAGTTGTTTAAGAAAGATATATTATTTAGAATACTAAATATACCGGGAAAGTAATTACATGTGTGTGGGCGGGTACCCATGGGGCGGGTTTACCTAAACCCAAACCCAACCCGACCCCGTGAATAGTGTAGCGGGTTTAAACCCAAACCTGACCCAAAACCCGTCAACACGGGTTTTACCCGCGTTGACCGGGTTGGGTCGGGTGGGTACCCGTGGGTTCGGGTTTTGTTGCCATCCCTAGATTTGGGAGGATCTCGATTGAGTTTTTTAATATTCTTTGGCCAAATTAGTTTTTTTTATACTTAATAACGATAATGATTTACGTTGATCCGAACGCTCAATCAATCTTTCGGTTGCCAAATTTATGACATGAAAACAGAAAACAGGAAACGAAAATGGAAATGAACAGGGCCTGATAAAATCCTAATCGACAACATAACTCACTATTTTGGGTTATGATTATGTGCTTTGTCATGTTTTAAGTTTTAGGGTGTGCCTATGCTGCCTTGCATGTCACCGTAACTTGCACTTTTTGGTCGACCTCGGTTAGGATTAGGTCGACTTAATCTGTTGTTCCAGTGTAAAAACAGTTTCATGATGCCTACTTTGGAGATTCATATCTTACAATTGGCTCTATGGAAATTGGAGATTAATAGCTTTGTTTTGAAGCTGGAGTGTGAAGAATGTCTTGCGTCCATGTCAAGTAAACCAAAACGGTGTCGTTCTCCCATCCACTTACCATCCTCCCTATGCGACGTCGTCTGATCATCAACGGACACCCTGCAGAAGAATCGTCCTTCCAAGTCCATCTTCAGAAGGAAAACATCGAGCTGCTCAACCCTAGCCTCCCTCCTATGGAAATCCTCTGAAAGCATAGCGAGTAAAATCGAAGACTTCACTCAAGCAATCACCGACCCCAGAAGGGCTATGATGATTTCCTCAAGGGAGCGTTTCCGGTTTCTCCAACGGCTATCTCGCACATCCTAGTATATATATAGCTAAGCATCCCTCCTTTAGAACTTGTCCGTGTTTTTGTAGAAGAAAATAGCTGAGTGTGCTTTTGTTCTTCTTTCGGTCCAATTGTAGTCTCTTCAAGTTATCTAATTCACAGTGCTGAGAGCTGGGTGAATTAGATTTGGGAAGAGGAGTGTTTCTGTGTGTTGTTTACTAAAGGGCCAACTCTGTTTGGCTCAACTAAGTAACGTAGTGTGCTTGTCTGCTTTTGTAATCCTTTCTTCGAATCAACAGAATATTTCCATCTTACCTAAAGGTTGATAGCAAGATAAGGTGTGTGTGTGTTTTCGGGAGAGTTTCTCACATTTCTACTTTCAACAATTGGTATCAGAGCAGGGTCTTTGAGAGATTAAAGGTTCGCCAAAGACGATCGCTGGGATGGCTGGAACACAATCAGCATCTGGTTCATACTCTGCAAACACAAATCCACCGTGGTTTGATGGCACGGATTACACAGTATGGAAGAAGCGGATGAGAATATACCTTCGAGGAATTGATGGAGGGCTTTGGGCCATTGTGAAGAATGGACCAATTCCCATGGACGACGAAGACGAAGAGAAATGGGAAGATGACCAGAAACTGTCTTCCCAGAAAGATTCGAGGGCAATGCATATATTGTTCTCGGCTCTAAGTACAGAAGAAAGGAGTCAGGTAGCCCAGTGCGAGACTGCCAAAGAAATCTGGGAGTCACTGGAAACCACTCACGAAGGTACGTCTGAGGTAAAGGAGAGCAGAATTGATGTTTTGTTAAATGAATATGAGTCTTTTGAGATGTTTACAGGAGAATCTATCACAAGCATGTATAAGAGATTTAATGATCTAATCAATAGATTAAAGGGACTAGAAAAAACGTTTGCCACTAAGGATCTTGTTAGGAAAATCTTAAGAAGTTTACCTAGAGAATGGCTTCCAAAGCGAACTGCCATAGAAGAGGCAAAGGATTTGAATGTGCTATCTATTGAAAGACTAGTAGGCTCCCTGCTTAGTCATGAAGAAGTAATTGTTCAAATGAACAAAGAAGATAACAAACGAAAGAAGGTAATAGCTTTTAAAGCACAAGAGTATGAAAGTGATTCTGAATATGAAATGGGAGAAGACTTTGAAAAAGAGTTTGCTCTTGTCAGTAGAAAATTTCATAAAATGCTGAAAATGAAAAGAGATTTTGAGGATAGAAAGAATTATGGGTTCTCTAGACCATTTAATGATAGAAGCTTTGAATCTAGGAGAAGTAAAGACTTAGATATGTCAGCAGGACGAGTGACAGAAAAGAATGTTCATAATAATAAGAACCAGTTTAGAAGAATGGAAAGACAAGATGGAGAACGCGATAGGAAAGAGTTTAAGGAAGACATTAGGTCTTCCAGTGAGAAGGATTTGACTGTTTGTTTTAAGTGTGGAAAGACAGGACACATGAGATCAAGGTGTCCCTTACATTTGAAGAAACAGGAGAAGGCCATGACAGCTTCTTGGAGTGATTACAGCTCAGAGGAAGACATTGAGCCAAGAAATCTGGCGTACATGGCATTTGCAAGGAAGGAAGAAAATGAACTATCAGAAGCAAGCAGCAGCCAAGGGCATCCCACAAACTACCAGGTAATCCTTGACTCTGACTCTGAAGTAAGTGAACATTATAGCACTAAGTCAGACTTTCTGCATGCTCTAAAAAATCTCCAAGAGGAGTGCAACAGGCTTAGAAGTAGGTATTGCCTATTAATGACTGAAAATCACAGCATGAGTAAGGAGCTAAGAGAGATGAAAGAAATAATGACAGTCCAGCATGTTCATGAAAACAGACTTAGAAAACAGATGTTTGAACTGATAGATGAAAATCAGGAACTAAAACGACGTCTAGCTTATAAAACGACACCTAAAGATACTGATAAAAAAACTAGAATGCATGACATGGCAACAAGAAAACGAAGTGAGGGTTCAGGTCATCAGAGGAAATACACTGAGATATATGTATGTACTCATTGCACTCGAAAGGGTCATCTAGCAAAATTCTGCTATGATCGACTGAAAACAAAGAAGCCAGTTATGTACAAAACATTTTGGGTACCAAAATGTGCTAACAATTGATTGATTGCAGAAGCTGGGAGAACAGGAAAACACATGGTACCTAGACAGTGGGTGCTCCCACCACATGACAGGTAGAAAAGAGTTATTTTCATCACTAAAATATAAAAAGGGAGGTAAGGTAGTGTTTGGAGATGATCGAGTTGGTAGAATCATAGGAAATGGAATCATTGGTAAGAGTCCATTTCCTATCATAAGAGATGTTTTATTTGTTGAAGGGCTAAAACATAATCTTCTTTCAATCAGTCAATTGTGTAGTTCAGAAAACAGGGTAATTTTTGAAGCTGAATCATGCAAAATTTCCAGGATCAGTGATGACAAACTACTGTTTTCTGGGATAAGGAAAAACAATATGTATGTGGTTGATTTAAACAACCTAGAATCTTTTAATGAAACTTGTTTTCATGCTGCATCTGGTGATTTAGAACGACTGTGGCATAGAAAATTAGGACATATATGCATGTCAAAATTATCAAAACTATCAAAACTGGAGTCTGCACGAGGCATACCAAAGCTAAAAGATAATGCTAACTTTTTCTGTGATGCTTGTGCAAGCGGTAAGTTGACCAAGAAAAGTTTCAAATTAAAGAAAGACATTACCACCTCTCAAGTCTATGATTTAATTCACATGGACTTGTTTGGACCAACAAATGTGGTAAGTCTTGGAGGTAAATCATATGCTCTTGTGTTAGTTGATGATTTTTCTCGGTTTACATGGGTATATCTTTTAGCATCAAAGGATGAAGCTTTTGGAATGTTTAAATCATTTGTGTCTAAGGTGTTAAATGAGTCCAAAACAGGAATTAAATCTATAAGAAGTGATAATGGAGGGGAGTTTGTGTCTGAACAGTTTATTGCACTATGTGATGACAAAGGTATAAATCATACATTTTCTGCTCCAAGAACACCACAACAAAATGGTGTTGTGGAAAGAAAAAACCGAACCATAATCGAAACTGCTAGAACTATGTTGCTTGAATATGGTAGCCCTAAGTTTTTATGGGGGGAAGCTGTTATGACTGCGGTATATGTAATAAACCGTGTTTTGATCAGAAAGCATTTGGAGAAAACACCTTATGAAATTTTAAAACATAAAACTCCAAATGTAAGCTATTTTCATCCATTCGGATGCAAATGCTACATACTAAATACAAAAGACCATCTCTATAAGTTTGATGCCAAAGCTGAACGTGCAATTTTTCTTGGCTACTCCATGAAAGGGCAGGCTTATAGGGTATATAACTTAAGAACTAGAAGGGTCGAAGAGTCAGTATTTGTGAAGTTTGACGATGCTGTGTGTTCTGAGAAAATTGATGCAGAGAATATAGACCTATTATTCCCAGTGACTAGTTTCAATGATGTGAAAACTGAAGAAAAGGAAGCAAGTGCTAAGAAAGACTATGACTCCTCAGATGAGCCATTAGGACAACCAGAGGAGAAGATGGCACCAGCCTACATACAGAAGAGACATCCAGCATCGCAAATTATTGGCAACTTGAATGAGGGAATACACACCAGAGGTAAGTACTGTCCAGGTCAGTATGCATTTATATCACTTTTAGAACCTAAAAATTATAAGGAAGCACTAAATGATGATGAATGGTTACATGCTATGCAAGAAGAACTTTTACAATTCGCTCGTTTGCATGTGTGGGAACTAGTACCTAGACCATTTAACAAATTAATCATAGGAACAAAATGGATTTTTAGAAACAAAACGGATGAGCTTGGGGAAATCACGAAAAACAAAGCAAGATTAGTAGCGCAAGGGTACTTGCAAGAAGAAGGAATAGACTTTGAAGATTCGTTTGCTCCAGTTGCTAGAATTGAATCTATAAGAATGCTTTGTGCCTATGCATGTTATATGAAAATTCCACTATATCAAATGGATGTTAAAAGTGCCTTCCTAAATGGAGAGATAAATGAAGAGGTATATGTAAGCCAACCCCCGGGGTTTGTAGATCATGAACATCCAGATCATGTGTATAAATTATCAAAAGCATTATATGGATTAAAACAAGCTCCTAGGGCATGGTTTGAAAAACTGTCCTCATTCCTAAAAGAAGAAAATTTTGTGCAAGGAAAGGTTGACAAAACTTTGTTCATCAAAAGAAAAGATAATGAAACTTTAGTAGTACAAATTTATGTTGACGATATCATATTTGGATCAACTAGTCCAGACATGTGTACAAATTTTGGTGAATTGATGAAATCTAAATTTGAGATGAGCATGATGGGTGAATTGTCTCACTTTCTAGGGTTACAAATTAAACAAACAAGTTCAGGAATGTTCATAAGTCAAATCAATTACATCAAAAACATGCTAAAGAAATTTAATATGGAATCTGTCAACTCTTGCTCAACCCCAATGAGCACAAGTCTAAAATTGGACAAAGACATGTCTGGAGTTCCAGTATGTGAAAAGAAGTATAGGGGTATGATAGGATCTCTCTTATACTTAACGGCAAGTAGACCAGATATACAATACAGTGTTGGGGTATGTGCTAGGTTTCAATCTAAACCAAAAGAAAGTCACTTAAAAGCAGTAAAAAGGATCTTTAGATATCTCAAAGGAACAATGGAAATTGGGTTATGGTATCCTTTCTCAGATCTGTTTGAACTAAACGGGTATAGTGACTCAGATTTCGGTGGAAGCTTAGTTGATAGGAAAAGCACCTCTGGAAGCGTTCAATTTTTAGGCCATGCACTTGTATCTTGGTTTAGCAAGAAACAAGGTGCAGTTGCACTATCCACAGCAGAAGCAGAGTATCTAGCTGCTGGAAGTTGTTGTGCACAAATCATGTGGATGAAAACTCAATTAGCAGACTATGGTTTCAAATTCCAAAACATACCCATCTGGTGTGACAATACTAGCGCCATATGTATGACAAAAAATCCTGTACAACATTCCCGGACTAAACACATAGAAGTAAAATATCATTTTATAAGAGATCTTGTATCGGCTGGTCATATATGTTTGCAATTTATACCTACTGAATACCAACTGGCCGACCTATTCACAAAACCACTAGCTAGTGATAGGTTTACCCAATTGTGTGCTGAACTAGGCTTAAAATCTCTTAACCAGATCAAAGATCTAAAAAGCTAGCTTAACCATTGGGCCTGAAATTATCTAGGCTTGTTATGAGTCTTGATTCACTTAAACGAGATACCCCCTTCTGCTCATGCGTGTATTTTTTGCTTTAAATGCAATCATTAGTCTTGGTTTATGAAAAACAGACTCTTCGTATTCTCATTCTCCCGCTCCTCCTCTACACTTCGAAACACTATTTAAGGATCTTCTCTTACTCTCGCCTTCTCATCCTATCTTCCAGCAAAAAGCCTTAACCTACCCTCTGCAAAAACCAACCAAAACAAAGCTTAGCTACCAAAATGAGCGATCACTTACCTCGCCCGTTCAGATTTGATGGGTTGGTGCATACCTACCCAGGCTACATGTTCCATGAGCCTGTGGTAATAAACCACCATCGTCATCTTCAACATTTTGAGAATAGGAGACTTCACCACATCATCCAAATCGATCCTTGTGAGTTCAATTTCTATAAGTACGACATTATGTCTCTTATAGAAGCACTTGGATGGGACTATCTTCTTCGACAGCCTCTTCATCCA